CACTTGTACATCTCCCAGCTATCCTCATGCACGCGCGCGTGCGCTTACCCTAGAGCCCCATGTGTGATATGGAGATCGGGGAAGGCTGCTCTACCACATGACCACCATACCCAGAAGTTCTCCAGCGCTTGCGTTTTACATCTTGTCCGAAATAAGCGGTGCTGATCTGTCCTTGTTCTTTACAGCTCCGTTGCCGTGCGGCTCGCTTGTGAACCTCACCATCAGCAACATCATAGTCAGCATCTGCATCAGCACTTACAGTCAACGCGCCTAGTAAGGACGCGCGCCTTCATCTAGGACGCGCGCCTTTGCCGTTTTCACTGGTCACCGCCGCCCAAAAGAATCCCAACTTCGGCCCCCAAGGGTCTTGCGTCCTTACCACGCGTCCTTAATATACGTTTTGACTGTAAGCGGTGCTGATCTGTCATTGTTCTTTACAGTTCCGTTCCCGTGCGGCTCGTTTGTGAACCTCACCACCATCAGCAGCATCACAATCAGCATCTGCATCAGCACTTACATAAGCGGTGCTGATCTGCCATTGTTCTTTACAGTTCCGTTTCCATGCGGCTCGTTTGTGAACCTCACCACCATCAGCAGCATCATAATCAGCACCTGCATCAGCACTTACACCCCTGCTTTCCACCAGCACACTGCTGCAAGAGCCGTGTGCGCGGCATGCGACGGGCGATACCCCCCCTGGGGCTCGGCGGGCGGGCACCCCGGTCCCAGACCGGGCGGGCTCGCGGCGAGGCGAGCCCGCCTCGGCACGGGGTGCGCACCTCGATCTGAGAAGGCCTGCATCCGAAGTGCGAGGACAATGCCCCGCATCGTGGAGCACCGACCGCGCACCCCGTCCCAGGCCAGGCAGGCTCAGCGGCGAGGCGCGCCCGCGCGGCACGGGGTGCGCACCCGATCTGAGGAGGCCTGCATCCAAAGCGCGAGGGGAACAAAAAGTGACACAAACATAAAGACTCGGAGGTCCTAGCGGATTTCTCGGATCGGCGCTGGGCCCCCCCTGGCGGCGCCTCCGGCGCCGCCCCTGGCGCGCTCCGCGCGCCAAAGAGGGGGGTCCAGCGCCGATCCGAGAAATCCGCGCGGACCTCCGAGTCTTTATGTTTATGCCACTTTTTGTTCCCGTAGAAGTGCGAGGAGAATGCCCCTCATCGTGGAGCACCGACCGCGCACAGACCAGCTTCTTGCTGTTCGAGCAGGAGATCGACTACATCATCGATGCACCCCCAAGTCGACATGCTCGTCGAATTTGTGAACAGTGCGTAGACCCTTCGTGTATATGTGCGAACACTCGACGCGTTGTTAGCAGATTCGGCGAAGATTCCAATTTTGGGATGCATCGATTCTGTAGTCGGTCTCCTGCTCGAGCTGTGAGCGACGACGGCAGCAGCCACGGCGCAAGCCGGGGGGCCACCGCAGGAGGGCAGCTCTGCCCGGGTGCACACGCCCCGGGCGGGGCCACGCTTTCGGGGGCCCAGCCGGGTGGTCTCCAGTTGGCCCTCGAGGTTCGTGGCGTTGGTAGCCAAGCCTCCGCACGGGGAGATGGAGGAGGAGGAGGAGGAGGAGGAGGAGGAGGAGGAGGAGGAGGAGGAGGACCAGCGTAGACCCAAGACTCATCCACGATGTTGAAATAAACCATCCCTCCAAGCTCCCTCTTCATAGGCCCCTACAAGGGTTCATGTCCACTGAGGGAAGTGCCCCGTTGGGAGACAACCGTTGGAAGATCCTGGCTTGTGCCGAAACACCATTCCCGGAATTTCAAAGCCACCAACAAGCTTGACTGTTGCGTCTTGACGATCCTGAGTCGTGCCAGATAGCCAATCCTGGGACTTCAGCACCGCGAATCAACATAATTGTTGCGCCCTGACAATCCTGAACCGTTACAAAGAACCGCTCCTGATACGTTAACCATGGGAGCCGGTGAAACTTTTGGCGTTCGTTTGCAACGAATGCGCACATATGCGCACGGCGCTAAGGCGAGAGCCACATTTTGAAAACGACCCGCCCTCGATCCGCGAAACTCTATGTTTAAAACGAATGTACGCGGCGCTAAGGCGAGAACCACAGCATGAAAACCGCCCGTCCTCCATCCGTGAATGCAAATTTCAAGCTTCAAGATCATAAATGGAGGGGAAGTCTCAGGGGAAACGCCCAGCCCACCCTTTCGACCAGCCTCGGGGCGCGACAGGGAGGAGTTACTTATAAGGAAGAGGAGTGGAGAACAACAAGGAGGGTGAGTAAAGGAGGAGGATGAGGAGGGGGCGGAAGGAGGAGGGACGGGGGAGGGGTAGTGGGGATGAGGAGCTTGAGGGGGAAGAGAAGGAGGAGGAGGACGAGGATGAGAAGGGACGACGACAAGGAGGGGGATGATGGAGATGATGATGAACATGATGCTGGTGGTGATGATGATGGTGATGGTGATGGTGATGATTATTATGATGATGAAGCTGATGCTGATGCTAATGCTGATAATGCTGTTGCTACTGATGAGGCTGATGATGATGAGTTTGATGTTGGTGATGGTGATGATGATGATGGTTTTGGTGGTGGTGGTGGTGGAGGTGAAAATAATGATGATACTGACGATACTGATGATGATGAGGAGGAGGATGAGGATGATGATGATGATGCCGGTGAAGATGATGATGGTGGTAGTGGTCATGGTGATGATAATGATGGTAATGGTAATAAGGATGACGGTGCTGGTGCTGATGATGATGATGATGCTTATGATGATGCTTATGATGATGCTGATGATGATGCTGATGATGATGACGATGGTGATGATGCTGATGCTGATGCTGCTGATGATGATGGTGGTGGTGGTGCTGCTGATGATGATGAAGCTGCTGCTGCTGCTGATGATGATGATGATGACGATGCTGATGCTGATGATGTGGATGATGAGGACGATGATGAGGATGATGAGGATGAGGACGAGGATGAGGATGAGGATGCTGCTGCTGATGATGAGGATGATGATGAGGATGAGGATGAGAATGAGGATGATGGTGAGGATGATGGTGGTGGTGGTGATGCTGCTGCTGATGATGATGATGATGATGATGATGATAATGATGATGGAAATGATGCTGCTGCTGCTGATGAGGAGGACGAGGAGGAGGAAGAGGAGGAGGAGAAGGAGGGGGAGAGGGAGGAGGAGGAGGAGGAGGTGGAGGAGGAGGAGGAGATGGAGGAGCAGGAGGAGATGGTGGAGGAGATGGAGATGGAGGAGGAGGAGGTGGTCCCCAGAGGTCCCCATGAGTTTCTGGAGGTCCCTGGCAGCGCAGCCTCCGGCGGTCACCCCGGGTGTCTTCCAGAATCCCCAGGCCTGGAAGTGGCCAGAGAGCGAGAGCGCCATGCTCCGCCGCAAAATATACACACGCCATCTAATGGATTGTTCCTGGACCTCAGGGGAGGGCGGCGGTGTATAAATCACCACTGCGAGCCAGCGAGAGAGAGAGAGAGAGAGCGCGCCATGTGCATCGAGGCGCGTTGGCGCTTCACTTCAGGCCGCGAAAGTGCAACCGCACGGCAATCAGAGACAAAGCCTCGAACCCCAATGGACCGCGAACCTTGACCTCGTCGCGCCCCCGCCCCCGCCGTGCCCTGCAAGGCACGACACGACGACTCGAGGGAGTTGCCATCTCTTCCTCGGCGGAAGGCTGAGGAAGGCAGCGGAAGTGGAAGGAGGACGGCTGCATTGGCGGAAGCTGGCGGAATTACAAGCCTGTTTGAGGGGAGCGGCCTCCCTGCCCCAGAGGGGGACACGGGAGCCGCTCTCACAGTGCCGCCTCCGCAGAAGCGGGGGCGCGTGCGGGTGGGGTGGCGGCCTCTCCACCAGTTCCCTGCACGCGCACCCGTCGGTGGGCCCTCCGTTCGGAATACAGGAATTCGAACGCGCCGAGTTCGGTAGGTTTTTCTCTTAGGCCCCTCACGAAGCGTCCTTTCCTGGAGGTTCCTGGGCGCAGTGTTTGAAAAAAATGAATTGCAAGATACGCCCCAATGAGATGACTTTGACTTTTTAGGGGGGGTCAGGATTTCCAGAATCGGGAATCGGCCACCTTGGCAGATGGTGGAGGAAGACCCTGAGAATCTTGGGTCGTGAGCAAATCATGGGAGCTTGCATCTCCTCGGAATTCGCGCGCCGGCGTCTGGTAATCGACGAGGAGGCGCCGATGTAGCGTCGATTAGCGTCGATTTAGCGTCGATGTAGCTTCGATTTAGCGTAGATTGGCGTCGACCTGGCGCCGACTAGCGTCGATTAGCGTCGATTCGTTAGAGCCAATGAGAAGGTATGGGACGCTCCTGTGAGCCGGATACAGCGAGGACCCCAGGTAAGGCGAGCACACCAGCGATTGGGCCCCGAAGCCCCAAAAGGGAGTGAGAACCACTCAACCAGGTCCGTCGTAGCTGGTTGTTCTTCGTGTGACGGCAGCTCCGATTAGAGGAATGGGCCGGGGGGGGCGCCCCCCGGTCCCACCAACGTCCGAATTGACTTGCCACCGAAGAGGGGGCCCCGCGCAGGCCAGGGTGGACCACCTTCAGCTGGACCTGGCCAAGGCCACGCTGGCGCGGCTCGCCTGCCGCAGCCCCGCGCTGCGGGAGCTGCCCGCGAGGCCGGGGCCGTCGTCCTCCTTCCACCCCCCCCCCTCGCCTGCTCCTCCTCCTCCTCCTCCTCCTCCTCCTCCTCGTTCTCTTCCTCCTCCTCCTCCTCCTCCTCCTCCTCCTCCTTCTCCTCCTCCTCCTCCTCCTCCTCCTCCTCCTCCCTCCCCCCTTTCTCCCTCCTCCCTCCTTCCTCCTCACTCTTCTTCTTCTTCTTCTTCTTCTTCTTCTTCTTCTTCTTCTTCTTCTTCTTATTATTAGCATTATTACTACTACTATTATTATTATTATTCTTATTCTTATTATTACTATTATTATGATTCTTCTTCTTCTTCTTACTATTATTCTTATTCT